TCCTTAGTTGGTTCCTCTCATTAGACGGTGATTATAGCCGGCTCGCGTATTTATGTGCTAAGTTGATCCCTGCGGACGTGCTTCACAGGGAAGCCAAGCATTTAACAGGGTGAGAGGCACAATGGTGCAAAGATTGGCAATGGAATCAGCCTGTTGTCAAGCGACCCATGTTTCTACCAGCGTCAAACCTACCAGTCTGAGTCAACCGAAGCAACCGGTATGACTTGGGTGAACATGACCAATAGCATCCACTACGCATCCTTAGATTGTTGCAAACAGACCTGATGGTCAAGAAATAAGCAAACGGGAGGGGGGGGAAAACGTCCAGAGGGCCGGTTTCGTCAAACGCGACCAATACGAGCAGATTGTCTCCATAAGTAGCTATGGTGGGTTGTGTAGCTCCTCAGCATTCCTGCGAGCTTCAGCACAAAGACTCCCCGTGTCTTGTAGGGGGACAACTTGCCATCTAATACCAAAGAATAATCCAACAAAGCGGAGGAATCAAAAATCAAAAAGGGAATACCAGGATTGGCGTTTGCGTTCTCATCAACCTTGGAAAAAAGGTATCTACTTCCCAGTGAAACTGAAAGAGGGTCGTAGGTCCGGTTTCAGTTTGGAAAAGCAAGGGTTAAGGAACATCGGAGGTAAGCTCTCCAGGATTTCACTCCGATTTCTCTTCTCCGGCCTCTTTCTCTCTCTGTGGTTCCACGGTCAGAATGTTCCAGATACGAAGCGAGTCGTTGAAAGTTAACTAGCGGAATTTCCATCCATAATTGCCTGCTGCGACGCCCATTGAGCAGCGACGCCGCTACGAGAGCGCGAGCTAACTGCACCGTGCACCTCTGTGCGCTCCGCGAGTCGCACTATCTGATGAGGGAGCAAACTGCGACGGCAAAACCTCCTCGCCGGCTGTGAGGCTGCGTGCGGAGTGGGCAGTTGGTTTCCCACATCTGAGCTCTGTCCCACCTTTATTCTACCAGGTATGGTCAAAACGCGCGCGGAGGATTCACCGGATGGGGACTTGTCTCTTCTGGGGAGGTCTACTGTGGTTGTTATCCCCGAACTCAATATTAACAGGTTTACTATCTTACAGGGCATTGTGCTTGGGTGGTATAAGGCGATGCCTGTTTACTACGTAGAAGGGTTCCAAGGTTGTAGAAAGGGAAGATTATCCACTTATAAGCGATCAGGGCATTATAACAATTCAATTAGCACTAATAAATTGAGCCACTCCTAAAAGTAATGCTCAATACTGAAAATCTTTCTGGGTACAATAGTGTGGCGGTATTCGTCCGAGCCGCTTGTGACAATATGAGTATACAAGAAAAATGAATGCGAATTAAGAACGACTGCACCCTCACCCCGCAAGGTGCCCGGCTGCGGCTTCCAGGGTGCCGAGCGTCGGCTCACGGCAGCCGGCACGCTATAGCATCCGGCCGTGTTTTCGCGGGCGCGTTCTGTCGCATCCGACCCTGCGTACCAGCGAGACATTGCTTAAAAACCTCCGCCTGGGTCGCGGCGCGTGAACAGTGCCGCGGCTTTTTTTTAAATGTGAGAAACCCTGGGCGCGTTTGCATTTTTCTCTGTTAAAAAGCCTTAATTAACTTGTTTAAAAACAACAAACTTACCAAAAGATGTTGAGGGTTGAGTATCTTAACGTTAACCTCCTGTGGGTCTTCGGGTCACACATTGACCGATTACTACTTCCTCATCATAACTTTCTTTGTTTTCATTGGATCTGCTAAGGCTTATGCTTCCTTCCAGTAGACATTTGACACAGTGCTTGCTGTTCCCACTTTCATTGCACTTTTGTGGGATGATTTTGTCCCGGCAGCTTTGTACACGCGCCCAGGTGGGTGTTCCCCGGTCCAAACAATGACCGGCCCATA